AAAAATTTTCCAAATAATTATGGGGCAAAGAATTGAATATGATTACTTCAGCTTTATGAATTTCTGTTTTATGGCCAATATTTAAGATACAGATAAGTAAAATGTCTATAAGCAATGCACTATTAATGTCTCAAATATGTTAGGAACTCCTAAAAACAATAAAAATGAAAAAAAGGTGGCTAATAGGAATACAAGTGAATAATATATTACAGATTTATAGAAACAAAAGTCTAAAAGGAAGGTAAATGTAGATAGTGATGTAAAAACTCATTAGTGATTAGAAAAATGCAAATCCAATCATGAGTAAGATACTATTTTATGTATATTAGGTGGTGAAATAATAATAAAAGTAAAGCCAGATACTACAAAATGCTGTATATTGAATGCTTATGCAATCCCCAGATTTGTATTTTGAGATCCTGTCCTCTGAGGTGATAATGAAGGTGCCAGGGTCTGAAGATGTAATTTGGTCATGAGGACAGAACAGTGGTGTTCTGTGGTCCAGGAAGCAGGCCTTTACCAGACATCCAGCCTGCTGGTGCCTTCTCCAGGCTTTCTGAGGCTCCAGGACCATTTGAAACAAATGTTTGCTTAATTCGCCCTGTTGTGATACTTTTGTTATGGGATGTGACGGAAAAGACAAAGCACTAAATGACTAAATGAGACTGGAGTACACAGCTGGTTTAGCTATTCTGAAAAGCAATCCTGCACCAGTTAGTCAATGAAGTATCTGCCTGTACAGTGACCCAGAGATTTGCTTCCAGAAGTACTTGCACAAGGCCACAAGGGTTAAGTAGGAATCTGCTTATAGCAGCATTTCTTGGAGTGACAGGTATTAATGCAGGTAAACTGTGGCTGATAAAACTATGACTCATCATGTAGCAGTTAAGTAACAAATTAGAAGTGCACTTTTCAACATGGATAGTTCTTTACAAAGAGGTTCTGAGTTTAAAAAAAAAAAAGTAGCAAAAATGATTTCTACCCAGAAGATAAGTTTAAAGCATGTCACATAAAACAAAATGTACTTTTGCAAGAATCAGCATGAACAAAAGAATACTCAAGAAATACAGAAGGGTGCTTGTAGGGTCAGCTCTGTAGGCTTATGTTATGCAGAGATCGGAAAAGAAATGCACCATAAGCAGCGAAAGGCTTTGTGTGTAGCCCTGATGGTAATGTGTAGTCCTGTAACCTAGCAGCACTCACTAGACTGAACCCGAGAGATTCCTTTCAGATATTTCTGTGTTTTTATTGCAGATGTACTTTAAGGTTTCCCAGGCTTTCTTTTAAGACCTGTGGTATCCCAGGCTATTCAATTGAGCGAAGATGGATTTCTCAACTAACTTAAAGCGACAGCAATGTTTGGTCTA